ACAACCAAGGTTTGAAGCTTTTAATGCACTTAAAATCGATACCCATACTCTCTTTCTCAATTGTTATGAACTAAAAACAACATATTCTTCACTTTGTCTCCATATTCATACCAAAATCCCAAACTTTTGATAACAAATTTTTTATGGTTCATAGAGCCATTTAAGCATACAATTCTTGGTGGGTTACTTTCGTTTGATGTTCTAGGTGGTTGGAGAAGACTCTGTGTGCAAAGGAAGTCATCTCACCTAGTTTAAGGTATGAAATTGAATTTTTTTCCAGATCTGTTCGCGTAGAAGACTTACCCGTAAGTCATCTGGATGTAAAAGATCTTACGGATAAGTCTTCTGGTCAAACGGACGATTTACTTCTAAGTCGTCCAGCTTTGTTTGTTAAAAAAAAACACCAGACGACTTATAATTAAGTCGTCTAGGTAAAACGGGCTACTTTTGCATTTGACCGAATTGTGTCAGATATTTGACTTTTTCTGGACGACTTACAATTAAGTCGTCTCTGGGAAAGTTAAAATTTCAATATTTTATTAAATATAGACGACTTACGGATAAGTCGTCTTAGGTTAGTTTTGCAATTCAAAAATAAAACTTAAATTTTTAACTTCTCCAGACGACTTAATTGAAAGTCGGCCGATCAAACGACTTATGTTAAAGTCGTCCAGGATAAGCAAAGTCGTCCAGAATATTTTCCGAGTTTTCTGGTCAAACCTTGCTTATTATGGACGACTTTAACATAAGTCGTCAGATCGAACGACTTCCAATTAAATCGTCTGGGAGAAGTTAAAATTTTAAGTTTTATTTTTGAATTGCAAAACTAACCTGAGACGACTTATCCGTAAGTCTTCTAGATTTAATAAAATATTGATATTTAACTTTCCCAGAGACGACTTAATTGTAAGTCGTCCAGAAAAAATCAAATATCTGACACAATTTGGTCAAATGCAAAAGTAGCCCATTTTACCTAGACGACTTATAATTAATTCGTCTGGTGTTCTTTTTTTAACAAACAAATCTGAACGACTTAGAATTACGTTGTCCCATTTAAATTTCAATTGCAAAAATGACCTCAGTGGACGACTTACGGGTATGTCGTCTGCGTCGATGTTTAGTAAACTTTCATGAAATTCTCTATGTTTACTAATGTGTTTTATTTTGAATTTTTGAAGATGATTCCTCAGTTACATGCACTGTATGGAGAATGATTGTTGAAAGATTGCCGTTGAGATTTTGTGGTTGATGATCTCAAATGAGAAAGATTGTTTTTATTGAATGAAGATTCAAAACATGCTGAATTTGTTGCAATGGCACAAGAGGATTATAACCTGGACATGAACACAATCACTATGGAGATTAGATACTCATTACTAGCAAAAATGATGATGGCTCCAGACACCCCTCCCATTCATGTTACAAGTGATAGACAAGTTCGTAACTTGCTCGAGATACTCAAAACTCATAGAGTATGTCTTTGTGTATCAAGTCGTAGCAAGGTGGAAACGATTTCATAGGAAAGGGAAGAAGCTGAGGAATGGTTTGAAGATGATGAAGCTGATGAATGTTTTGAAGATGAAGGTGATAATGAGTTGGTTGAAGATGAAAATGATGATGGGGAGGAGGATGATAAGGAGGAGGATGATAAGGAGGAGGATGCTGAAATCTTTGTTTGCTCTAATGTTGCTGAAGCGGACGAGAATGTTGAGGATTATAGTGTTTATGGAAAGCTTAGAGATGAGGATGAGGAAGAAGATGATGATGTGGTTTTTGAAGATTTCAAAGATACATATGCTATTGAAGGAGGATGATTGAATGGTAACGGTATATATGTCAACAAGAGTTTTGTTAGCAAGGATGCACTGCTTTCAGAGCTGCGGTTGACAACAGTGAGGCGTAAGTTCTCCTTCAGAATATACAAGTCAACGAAAACTCTCCTTGTGGCAACATGTCGGGTTAGTGGTTGTGGATGGAAGATAAGAGCGAGTGTGAAACATGGGACAAACATGTTTTGGGTAACAAAATATGTGGAAACACATACTTGTTCAGTGGGAGACCGAATCGCTCAGCGGAAACATTGTACTCCGAAGTATGTTGGTAGGTTTTTCAATGATTGTGTTGGAATCATTGATGGGTTGACTCCGCAACATATCAAAATATTTGATAGAAGACACTGTACATGATTTCAATTTTTCACTTATCTAAATATTTTTTACAAATTTTTTAAATTATTTTTAAGAATAACTATACCAGACGACTTTCAACCAAGTCGTCTGAATAGAATACTTACGGGGGTTAGACGACTAATAATTAAGTCGTTTGACAAATCTTCTGGCTGGATGACTTTTCAGACGACTTAAAATATTAGTCGTCTACTAAGTCGTCCAGGCTTTATGAGTTTGTTTTAAGAATTTGTGTTGGAAATTGTGTTAGACTTCTTAGACGACTAATAATTAAGTCGTCTGACAAATCTTCTGGCTAGATGACTTTCCAGACAACTTAAAATATTAGTCGTCCACTAAGTCGTCCAGGTTTTATGAGTATGTTTTAAGAATTTGTGTTAGACGACTAATAATTAAGTCGTCTGACAAATCTTCCGGCTGGATGACTTTCCAGACGACTTAATTATTAGTCGTCTACTAAGACCATCCACAATGGTGTTACCATGATTTGTACATAGAGGACAAATGAGTTGTAGTTATAATAGTTGATCATCTATTACAAGTCATAGGTTTAAAAACATTTTGAAACAAGGGAACAACAACATAGAAGTCATCCATTACAAGTCCACTATAAGCAGATTACAATAAGACAATAGCAAGACAAACATGCATCATTTAGGAAGAGAAGAGGAAGTTGAGGCACCATCCGCAGCATCATCCCCTTGAGGAGGTGTATACTGAATCTCAGTAAAACTAGGACCGAAAGGAGTCATATGAAATACCATGTCTCCTTCCTTTTTGAACAAGACAATGTCACCGATGCAAAGGGAGTGTGCTTGGGCGAAGGCTTCCCAACCATCGGTGAGTCTTCTTCCTTCTTGTATAACTTCCCAAGTTTGGTGTGAAGCGTCCGATCGTAGTGTACATTTTCCTTGGTTCGGCTTGCCTTCTATGTTTTTTGAGTAGAAGGCAAGTGGTATTGTCTACAAGTCAACAAAGGAGAAGTTAAGCAAATGAAATAAACATAGGAGAAATAGAGAGCGTGTGTATACCACGCCACTGTAGAAACCAGAAAGCAGAGGCTTCAAGAAGTGAGGTTCATGCTGATTCGCCATCTGCAAACAAGAAACGAAATGGAAACATTTTAATTCTAAGTCATCTGAGTCGTCCACCTGGAAGGCTTATATTAAGTCGTCTGGGTCGTCCACCTGGAAGACTTTCCAGACGACTTAATTATAAGTCTACCAAGACTTCCAGTAGAACATTTGAAAGCTGACCAGACGAATGAGAGGAGAACAACATCCAACCTAACTAGACCAGAAATCGATTGAAATTCCCAATCTTTGAAACCCTAATTTGAAATGAAAATATCCACAAATTGCTTGAAATCACAAATCGTAACCGTAAAATGAAAGGAAAACATCATCCAACCTAACTAAACAACAAATCGATTGAAATCCGCAATTTTTGAAACACTAATTTGAAACCAAAATTTCCCGAAATCGTTGAAAACACAAAACCAAACGGTAAAAGTAAAGGAAAACAACATCCATCCTAATAAAAACCCATAAATCTGCAAAAGAAGCCTTTGATTTACCTTGGTCTTGTATCAGATCGAAATCGTCTCGAAATCACCTTTGAGAGAAACGACGTTAGGGTTTTCTGAATTTCGCAAAAAAGTGAGTAAAAAAAACATCTTATATATGTCCGGTAAAAAATACGGTTAGGTTTAAAAGTAATTTGGTAAAATCCGGTTTGGACGACTTATAATTAAGTCGTCTGTTGATACTATACACCCGACTAAGTCGTGTGCCTTATTAAATATATTTACCAAAAGACTTAATTATAAGTCGTCCAGACCCTAAACCCTAAATTAAATTGACTAAATTAACTAACTAACCACGTTATAAAATAAAATTATACTTAAATAGTGTTTACTATACACAAAAATAAACACAATTAGGTAAATTTTTAATTTTTCAAAAAAATATTCATGCTTTCGAAAATCTAACCCTAAGAAACACATACAATACTACAACATATGTTGGTGAAACCTAAACTAAAGAATATCATGACTCACTACTTTCACTCATCTATGCTGAAAACAACTGCCTTTTGTTATATCTTAATTAATATCTCTTAAAACATATGTTAATTACATAATTCCAATTTTTCATTTATCAAGATATTTATTACACAATTTTTAAATTATTTTTAAGAAAAACTGTCCTAACGACTTACAAGGACTAGAAACGTAAAAAAAATATATTTTTTTGTTTGTTCACAAGGCGTTGGTTGAGTTTACTTTTGCATTTCGAATCAAGTTTGAGTTTACTTTTGCATTTCAAATCAAGTTTTGAGTTATATTTAGTAATTTTCCCATTTTTAATGTCTAAGTTTAGTTTATCATTTTTCCAAGTTTTAGGCTTATTTGTCTGATTTGATAAAAAAGTCTTATTTGTCTGTTTCAATAATTAGCAATTCTTTAAAAAAAAATAAAAGATTACATAGAAATAAAATAATATCTAATTATTATTTTAATATCTGTAAAAAACCTTTAGTCGAAATAGAATCTATATATATAAAAGAATGTTTGCCTCACTCAAGCCAGTCCACGTCACTAATTCAGTTCCTCACGTTTTGACACGTGTCCCAATGTATAAAACGGTGCGTTTGTTTAATTGAGCATAACATGGGCTTTATGTGTTTATAGCCCAATATCATCGCTGTGTGTCCTTCTGCGAAAAAATAGAGTTTTTTTTTTCTAAAGATTGGGTGCCGTCGAAGGTGAGCTTATGTTTATCATTCTTATCAATCTCTCCAATGGCATCTGTTCCTCATCATGGACTCTCGATGTCTATTCATCTTCCTACCAGTTACAGAATAATCCATTTAAAACCCTCCATTAATCAATCACCCACAATCTCTAATCAATGCGAGCCCCATCCCTCCAAGGTGGTGTAGACTCAGCTAAAAAAATGTAAGCTTCATGCTTTGAGAATCATCATTTCATTAGCTATAATCTATCAATAAACTACTATTGTCAGCTATGGCTAATGTTTCGGTCTTCCTCTCCGATTTGCTGACGGGCCGCTCCACCTCCACCGTCCAAGTTTGCCTGGGAGGCCAGGAACGTCTACCGTGGTGGAGATCTCATGGGAGTGGATATGGTCCTCCTAGATTATCAGGTTTGTTATCTAACTCAGCCTTTGTTCATAAGCAAAATATTTTTACTGTTATATTCTTTGTACTTTCCGCCGTGATGAATCCTTATTAAAAGAAGTTTTTCTTTTCAGATTTTTGTTCAGGTTGTTTTATGAATATGTGGATGACGCATCAATTTATTATCTATACATTTGCAGTGGTGTATAATACGCTGGCCTTTTGTACTATTTGAAGTATATTGATTTGTGGCTGAATCGTGATTTTTGAAACTTTTTTGTTGATATCAATTGTTTTATGCTGAAGGGGCTTTTGAACTTAACATTGAATGTTGTTTTACTTCAGGTAAGAGAGAGCCTAATGATGCTTTGGATACCAAAGTGAACATAAAAGAAGAAGAAAGACGTTATTGCTGCTGTTCAAAAAAGAAAAAAGATGAGTACAAGTGCCCAAGAAGGTGGAGACCTTTGACTCATCAGATTCCTTATATTATGATATTTCGCAAGGTATACTACTTAATGGCTTAGTAGTAACATGGTAGATTCATTCATAAGAAACTTAAATTAAGTGTATATTGAGCTGTGTTTTGTTGTCTTTAAATCTCAAGTAAGTTATGCATTGTTTACATTCACTGAAATTTTCTTACGCACTCCTTTCTAATTTGTTCAAATTGTGATAGGCTAAGAAAGTCCCTTTCAAGAAAGTTCCTGTTAAGGCTGCCTCAAGCAGTGATGGCTAATATAACGACTCCTCTTTCTGGAATTGATGGTCTTAAGACACAACAAAGAAAGAGTCTTGGTTTAATTAGTAGCTAACCCTTATATAATCTTCCTGGACAAGCCTATATTTAGTCTTGATGCAAGGGCTGCCGCCATTTTTATGTGTAAAGTAAGAGACATCAACGGGAGAAAGGTCGCATGTCCCATGGCCAGCCCAACGTCTACATTTTTAAATCTTTGATTAGGTTTGCCTATGGAACATTCTACTTTTGAGTTCTGAAACCAGAATTCAGTTCATCTTTATGTCACTACATTTTCAATGGAGTCACTAATGAGCTTGGACTTTTCAAAAATATACGCCAGCTTCTCTCTTTATGTATGTTTAATAAAGACGTTACTACTATTCGTATTAGATCAGAGTGTATGTTTCTTATTTACACTCCAATGTCTACTCTAGGAGGAAACCAAGAACTCAGTACTCCACCACCGGGGTCGAATAATCTTTATTCCTTAACTGAGTCCTCGCAACCGTTTTTGATTCAAATCAAGCTTGCTTCTGGAAACAGCATTGGTAAACTGGTGATGTCATGCCATCATGAGTATAGTGCTATCCGGTTTCTAATGACTAATGTCATCGGTGTTATGTTCGCTTTGATTTTTTGCCAAATAAGAACAAAAAAAAAGCAAGGATCCTTCTTTCTTCCGTTTATGAAACTAGCATCTTATCCAAATGTGACTGCTTTATTTCAAAAAAAAAAAAAAAAAAGAGCAAGAGGAAGACCTTAATAACACTTCCTTTGAGCCTACATTGCAGTACTGTTCCTTGGTGTCACCTCCGGAAAGCACTATTTTCTACGGAAAAAAAACTGTTGGAATGTACTCTGCCATCAAGTATGCAATTTCTCAGATTACATTTGTCTTATGTTATATACTTTTATAATAGACATGGTTAGATAACTAAATGAAACTCAAATGCCTAGGTGGTGGTGGAAACTCAAACCGGAGTTCTCATGTTTATCCTTTACTCGATGATATGATACGAATGGACAATGTTCAAGTCCTTCTGGTTCATCTTCTGCACGCCAACAAGCTTCATCTAATTTACCATAAAGAGAATAAAACACATAAATGAATACATACGTCTTCTAAAACTCTTTAAAACTTTAATATAACTAAACGGAAATTTTCAATCAATTAATAACACTTAAAAAATTAATTATTATTCTTAAAAATAAATTATTATTAATCTTACTGATGGTTTTCAAAAGGAAAATCAAAACATTTCCATGAAGATATCAACATCACAGGCAAAACTAAAACAATATAGGGTCAGAACTATACATTTAAAACAAAATAGTAATAATATTTGCAATCATTTATATGGAGTATAGTATGATTATAAAAAATCTCATTCATTTGGTTTTACACACTATGCGTTGAAAAACAAAGAAAAATTAGAATTACTTATTTCAAATTTACACAAAGAGAAAATAAAAAAGTTGTTAGAAAATACTGAGACGAAACAAATGAATAACAAATCTATATTATAATATTAAGAAAAGTAGCTGACATATTAATAATAAATAAATTCAAATTCCGAATTAAGGTCACATCTAATTGAAAATAAATTAGACATTTATGATTTTTCATAAATTTGGTTTTAATGGTAATAATTATATGTTTTGAAAGTAAATGTAAGGTTATTGTATTCAAATAAATTTGAAATTTAAAAATATTATATACTAAAATAAAATGTTCAACCATAATTTCATTGTCGATATGAAAAAAAAAATATTCTTGCATAGTTTAATGGAAGACACAATTCAGAATAAACAGATAACAAACAAAGCAAAATAGAAATGAAATTAGATAATTTATACCAAAACAAACATATTAAAATACTACACTTCAAACACAACTTCACTAAATTGCAACAATTGTAATAGAAAACTTAATCAAAATTAATGTTGAGTATCTTACAACAAACAAGTTCCAAAGAAAAGGATGATAAAAATAAACATGAAACAATTATAATAATAACGATACACATAAACTATAATAAAATTAAAAAAGAATGATCCACATATATATAAAAAAAATTTAAACTAAAAAGTTTAAAAGGAAATATCATAAAATATTTTTTTGTGTGAAGCGCGGGCTTCCCCTTGATGGTTATGATTTGAATATTTATATATTTGAACATCATTTAAATTAGAAAATATTAACTATTATAGTATTAAACCATTTTTAAAGTATTTTAAGACTTACACTTAATTATTTTAAAATTTTTATTATATTTTAAATGATTTAGCTTGGAGGTATGCTAATTTATTCTCATGAAACAAAATTAGTGTAATTTTTATTCAAAACTTGAAACTTCTTGAAATAAATATATTATTAAAACTTTATACTATTTAATATTTCAAATTTAAATAAAAATAATAAGAAGATATATATATCACATTTTCTGAATACTTTATGCTGATTTTGTATTCTCTAAGAATATAAAATAATGAAGGTTGCTGTCATTTTTATTTAAACCACTTTTTATTAAAAAAGACCTTAAAACTATATTCATTATTTGTTTGTTTATAATATTTTTTTCAATTCATATGATATTTTCAATTCTTTATATAATTTAAGTATGTTCATATAAATAATTTTTATTATAACTTCCCGCCCGTAGGGCGGGCCAACCCTAGTACTACATGAAATAGAGAAAACAATGAGGACAAGAAGTCTACCGAAGGAAATAAAATATTTAGATTAATATACTCACAACATTTTCCCATAACTGCAGATTAAAAAATCTAGGGGAGTTAAGCCACCTGATTGACTTTCAGGTTTTCGAAATTTGACATATCATTTGCTTTTCGATGAACTTTTAATTACAATAATATTTCACTTATTGATTAAAGCCAAACGTTTTTGGAATGATGGTTCAACTCTAACTGCTGTTTGTTTAATCTATTTGTTGTCCCAAAAAACATTTTAAATTTTTGCACACAGATTAAAAAACATTTAATTTTACATATTTTCAAAATAAAAATATAATTACCTATAGATCTAAACACATTTCAACCAATAAAATAAATAAATAAAAAATAAAAAATAAATAAATTTTGTATCAAAGTTATATAACAACACTTATTTTGAAACAAAATTTTTTTACTACAATAACATATAAATTGACACGAAAGAAGTATTACGATTAGAGAAATTAGTGGTTTCTTTTGTGTCAACGGTTAAATATTTTGAAAAAAAACTAAGGTTATATGTTTATAGATGGTTATATATTTTACATAGCGTATAGAAAGTTACCAAAGTAATGGCCACCAAGTCCAAAGTTTGTAGATTATATGTTTATATAGATGATAAGTTATAGTTAATATCAAAAAAAAAAGTTATAGCTATATCGTTTATTTTTGAACAGAGAAACAAATAATATGCATATGTATCAGCCAAACATTTGGGCTTCTATAAGAAAACTATGTGATTAAGGCGATTAAGGCCCAATACAGTGAGAGAAAAGGGGCCCACCATATGTCTCCAAGTCAATGACCCAACTACTTGTAACTTATAGGTAGAGATGTCAAAAAAGCCATCCCGTCCTGTCTCGTCCCGGATCGCAGCGAGCTCCATTTTTCACGGGCTACAGTGGGTCTGTCCTGCGCAGGCTGCAGTCCCCGAAAAGTCATCCAATCCCGTCCTGCCAATATACACAATTTCTTACAAGCCATCCCGCGGACTGGATGCTGATGTAGTCGATCATGGTAGTTCTTAACATAGGAGGCTATTCCATGATGATTAAGACTGCTCCACTATATATCTAAGCACAAAAAATGAATTTATCATGAAACAGTTATTATTGAAACTCAAAAGAATTTGTTATAGCATAATCAAACTTAAAGTACTTGTTGAAAATGAGATAAGTACTTGTACCAAGTGCATGTATAAATTGAATTTTGTAATATAATTATATATATGTAGTTATGAATTGTAGTTATTTTTGTCACACCCAAAACATATTAACATACAAAGTAAAAATATTTGCAAAAGATATATTTCATTATCTTATAGTTCATAACCAATGTTTTAGTTTGTTGAATCGAAAATTAAATAAAAAGAGAAAACCAAATCAAAAGACCGTCAAAGCTCGAATCATCATCGCCGGAGCTGGAGTCGCCATCGTCGGAGCTCGAATCATCATCACTGAAGGTCGAATCCTCATCGCTGCAGTTCCTTATATTTTCTTGAAGGAAGTCACATGAATCGTCTTCTTCTCACTCTATTTTTCGTTTTTTTTTCAGATAAAACAAACAAATGAAGAAAAAATTGCGGGTCCTTGTAATCCTCCAAGACCCGTTTCGGTCCATCCCGCAAAAGATTCACTCCCGCAAAGACCCAGTTCCGTAAAGATTCGTCTCGCGAGACTCGCAAATTTTTGGACCTAGAAAATCTCATCCCAATACCGTCCCGCGATAATTCTTTACGGGCTATATCGGCGGTTCAGATCCATATTTGCCATCTCTACTTATAGGAGATAATCTATGTCATCTTTTTTGTTGTCATTTTTTTTTTGTCAACAAATCTATGTCATCTTATTATTATAGTTGCTTGTTTGACGTCTATAGCATTGAATTGTATTCAACTGAGAGTTTGAATTGATTTAAATCGAAATCACAAATTACTATTATTCAAGTATGAATTCAATAAAACTTATTATAATTAACTGTTATTAACTTGATAATTCAAAATATTTTGAAACTCAGATTTTTTGTAAACAATTTAAATAAATTTCATAAATTTATGTGAGATTTTAGAATGTTTTAACAAAAATCATATTAAACTTTTTAATTTACATAATCATCTAAAAGCTAACTAAAATTAAATAATTTCAGATACTACATTGAATACATCTTCCAAAATTTCAGTAACGAGGAAACATATATGATTTTACGTATTTGAATCTAAACAATGACGCAAATTAATAAAACAATTTCTTAACACAAACATATAACTTCTTACGTCAAGAAAATTGGTCTGATGCAAAAAGCAAGAAAATGATAAAATAACAAATGGAATAAAGTAAGAAAAAATGGTTACAACAAAACATTTTTCCGTTTGTAAACACTTTTAGTTTAATCTATCTTATTAAAAGATAAGTACTAATAAAAAATTACCCTAAAACTTATCACTTATTCACAATGATATGCCACTGAAATTTTTAATAAACTTAACAATAAATATTCTTTGTCTTTTCCTAATTTAACTAGAAAACTAACCATAATCGGATACCAATTAATGAATGATAATCATCATTACATCTATACTATTAAAGCTGAAGTATAAAATGTTAAGTGTTTGGAAACATGAA